CCCCAAAACCCCAAAACCCCAAAACCCCAAAACCCCAATGATCAATAATAAAATATCTAAAAATTATTTATTTTTTTCTTTCGAATATTTCGAATTAAATTTGCATTTTTATAAGTTATTTACGATTATAAAATGTCACAAAGAACTGGACCCGTCGTAGCACGTACACCTTTACTTTTTCCTAATAATATTCGATCTAGGGCGAGACAATATGTGGGGAGTATTTAATCATGAGTAGAGCTAGGAGTAGAATCAGACTCCAACTCAAAACAAGCAGCTGAATTACTAGCCAATACAGCAATAGAGGAGTTAGCAAACAGTTTTACCACCCATTACTAGAAATAGATCCTCAATGGATCTGATCAACAACAGAAGTTACACCTCAGAACCTCAGGCTGAAAGATTACTAGGATCTTAGAATATAGCTGCAATTAAAAGCTAGAGACCTTTACTGAATACTATAATAGGCTCTGGTTAAAACTAAGGTGGGATCTCTGGTCTTGAAGATTATACTGCTTCTTTTAAACTCCCCTACATTTAGCAAGGCGCTTCAAGATAAGAACTGGTTGAAGTACAAAATAAATGCAGAGAAGTAGAGATTAACTTGTTAGACTTAAAGTCATCTATTGATCGTCGACTAGCATAGATAATCGAGGAGATTCCGACTAGACTGCAGAGGGAATTGAAGAATATAGAGAACAGAGATAATCATTTATGGAAAGATAATAATGGGAAGATGACTTAAATTATTGAAACAGTTACTCGCATCAGAGATCAAGTCAAAGTGAAGCAGCAAGATCACATTGATAGGATACAAAACTTATAAGCTATGGTTACTGATAACGACTTCAAGGTAGCGTCTATGATGAAATAGCTTGAGGTTCTATAGAACTATTAGTCGGCATAGTCAACAGGTGTGGCTGTACATGATCCATAAAACACAGCTAAGTATACTGGAAGCATGCTTAGTGGAGGAGGCATGGATACTCAAAGCAGTCTAGTTAAGTTCGAGAAGGAAGCAGACTCCAAATTTTTGAAAGATCTAATTACTGAAGAGAGATAGAAGCGTGAACATTAGCTCGAGGAGCATTACAAAATGTATTAACACTTGCAGAGTATTGTACATGGACTTGAAAATGATGTAATGAAAAAGCTTAAAGAACACAGAAATGACTAGCTATCAATATTCGCAACTGGTGAGGAAGAGAGATAAAGACTAGAGCGAATGAAATTGGAAAGAGCTGAATCAGACACTCAATACACTAAGTAAATGCTCATGAATCTAGAAAGAAAAATTGAAGATGAGTAGTAATTCAGACTGAAAAATGAGGATGATTAGAAGCGTTACTTTGAAAATAAATTCATTGGACTCCTTGAAAAGATGAAAAATGAGGAGAAGTTGAGTCTTGAAAGAGAGCGCAGATTAATGCAACAATTCCAGGAGGGATTAGTCACTATGAATGATATTATTAGAGGAACAAAGGAGTAAAATCTGATATCCTTAACTCATTAGTAAACTGTACTAGGAGATCAAATTAAGGGCTTGTTTTAAACAGTTGAAGCTGTTAAAGATGGAGTCATGTCAAGGTAATAAGTGATTGAGACAGAACTAGGTGAGTAAAGATCTAAAATGAATGACTTGGAGGCTGCCACATTCAAGCATGCTTAAACTGTCAGTGAAACTCTTGAAAACGAAATAACTAGATTTGAAAGAGTAATATCTGCTTTTGAAAAGTACATTGATACCTAAACTTCTGACTTAAGAGGTATATTGGCAAAGTAAGCAGAGGAGAATTCCAAATGGAAAGGCGATTATGAGGACATTAATACAAAGAAAGTTGTTGAAATCCATAGTGCATTGAAGTTGTTAAACTCAAACATAGGTAAAGTAAACTCTGATTGCAAGGATAGATTCGACATGATTAATAGTGAAATGAGAGTGCACGAAAATGCCACCAATGTTTAAATCTAAGATCTTAGGAATAAGGTCGAGGTTGATGATAAATCTATTGAAGAGCGTTTATAATTAGCAGTTGACAAGGCCTATGATAGATTGAAACAAAATTTCGATGCTACGATGAATGACTATAACAAGATGGTCAATTAATTCAATATGCAATAGACTGAAAAGTTCGAATAAAATAATTCTGATGTCAAAAATTTCGTTCAAAGTAAGACTGATGAAATGAGGAACAAGATCTTAGAAGAGAGGAGGAAGCTTGATACTATAGTAGAAGGTAAATGCTAAGCTTATACAATTGAAATTGAGAGGAAAATATTGCAAAGACTTCAGTAAACTATGATTGAAAATCAAACTTTAAGAGAAGAAATGCTAAAAAAGATGGATAAAGCCACTAAGGAATAAGATGAAGTTGCAAGATAACTCTAAGAAGAGAGATTAAAGATTGATATGAAAATTAATGCTAAGGAAAATGATATCAGAGAGTGGGCTTTGAAGGAACTCTAGGACAATTACACTGACTTCAACAGATTATTAGCAGCTAAGGTACTTGAAACTGAGAATAAGATGAGGCAGTTACTAGCAAATCATAAACCCTCAAAATCAGATGTGCCAATTAAAGACTCTGTAACTGGTGCTCTATCAGAGTTAACACTCAAAGAAGCAGTTGATAACATGGGAATGGGGATAAAGACGGATTTGCTATCATTATTCGAAGATGACAGGAAACTTAAGAACATAAGATTCCAAGAAGTATTCCATTTGATGGAATCTAATAAGAATCTCATTAATGAGCACATTGCTTAGTAGTTTGAGAGTTAGAAGGCTCTAACAAAGGCATTTGTGAACAAAGAAGTGGCAGAAAGAACTGTCGGAGATAATAGTATACTTTCGCAATTGAATAGAAGGCTTGATGGAATTGATGCTTTATTCGATGGAAAACTTAAAGATGAAGTTAAGATCATGCAAGAAAGACTAACTGAACAGTAGAATATGATCGAGGAGGAAAAAAAAGAGAATGCAGCAGCAAGATAGAAAAACGAAGAATCTATGCAGAAGATGCAAGAGGAATAAACTTAGAAATTGGAAAATATAAAGGAAAATGTAGATAAACAGTTAGAGGAAGGATAGAAAAAGCAATAAGAGGAGCTATAGAAAGTGGAGGGAGAACTTAAAAAGGAAAATGAAGAGTAGAAAAAGCGCACTGATGAATAGGAAGTGTAAATCATAATGAATGAGATGATTAATAAAGTCATCTAAGAAGAGCATGAGGTGAAATACGAGACAATGTTTGGTGAGATGGACTAAGCTATAATATCAGTTCTTGCGAGCACACAAAAGAGTTTGAATGAACAGTTAGATGACTTGAATACTTAAATAAAGACTAGGACAGCTGAAACAATTAACAAATTGCAGGAAGTTATTCAGGGTTTGAATGCAGAAGTTTAAGAGAGCAAAGAAAAAATAGCCAAAAATGAAAAAGAAATTAATGAGGTGGACTTCAATGCTAAGAAGGCGAATGAAGAGGTCAAGGATAAAATAGAGGTAACCAAATGTGTTTAAGAAATGGTGGCTTGGGTTTCAGAGTAGCTAGTGAGTTAGCAGATGACTGATAACTTGAACGTCATCGCTGGTAAGTTCAATGAAGTAAGCGTCAAGGTCGCTGAGAATTTGTCTAAGATCCCAGCTGATAGTGGTCCTAAGAAATCAGATGCTCTTAACGTCAAGAAACAAGAAAAACCAAAGCCTGAGAATCTGAATGTCTCAGAGAAGAGACCTAAGCCTAAGGAAGAAGTCAAAGCTAAGGAATAACCAAAGACAGAGGAGAAGAAAGAACCAACTCCGACCTAGAAAAAAGATCCTACTCCTTAAAATAAAACACCCACACCCTAAAATAAAACTCCCACGCCATAATAGAGTAAGACCCCTACTCCTTAAGAGGATGAAGATGATGAGGAACAAAATGATGAAGAGGACTAGGAGCAAGAATAGGATGGCGAAGAAGATGAAGGTGAGTAATAAGATGAAGATAATGATCAAGAAGATGATGAGGAGGAAGAATCTAATCAGAAAGATAGTAAATAGAAGTAATGAGAAATAGTTAAGAAGAGAAGTGAAGATAATAACATTAGAAATAGTATTTTAATTTTATAAGTCCAAATCTTTTAAAAATAACTAAAATATAACTTATGGGGTTTTGGGGTTTTGGGGTTTTGGGGTTTTGGGGTTTTGGGG